CATGGACGAAGGCACATCCCCCGCACCCGCCGGCTCATCCGTAGCAGGATGGACACAGTTGTAAGGAACTGGTGCTACAAAGGCTCATCGTGTGTGGTCGGATCAAGACACAGGTTTTTTTTTTTTCCTTGTGCAGGGCAGCAGGTTGGGTGATTGATTTCTAGAAGAATATTTACTTGAGCTGGGGGTGCCTGGCAGAGACCGTTCCTTTTCCTCTGCGTATTCCGAGCAGCTCGTGTTAAGATGTCAGCACTTTATATATAACACATCCACGTTGGGGAGCTGACATGTCATTTCGTTTTAGATTGTCTCCTACCTGCTCGATCTTCCAGAAAAAGACGAAGAGGAGGTGGAACGAGCGCAAATCAACAGCTTTGACAGCCTCTGGGGAGAGACAGGTGATTCCTGCAGACGCTGTGGCTTCTTCTTGCATGTTTGTGTTTGTGCTTCTGGGCTCTCTGCCACCTGATGCATCCCTCATCCCTGGCGTTGTTTTAATGAAGGGAGAAGGACCAGTTCCTCCCATTTGATTCCAGGTGGTTTACAGGTGCCGGGGTGCAGCTGGCGCTCGGCTCAAAACAGGGGAGTTTGGCTTTTGAAAACCCTGAGCTTCCGCAGCGCCTGGCACTCCTCAGGAGCACCTCTGACAACCAGGCCACTCCTTGGAAAACATCTCCCATTAAGTGAGATGGACACAAAATTCTGCTCTTTCTCTCTTGATGTTTGGCATATTTACCAAAAGCCTCTCCCTGTTTCTCGCTCCCGTTCCCCGTTACGTGCAGCACCACGACTGTTAAGTTAACCCGTTGATTTTTTTTTGAAAACTTCTCCTTATTCAACACCTGGTAATTAAACAAACGTCCTTTTGTGCAATACTTGAGATACTCAAAACTTGGGAGTTGTGAACTTTTAACTCCCATGACCTCAGACATATTAGCCACCGTCTTTTGTACTCAACCCACCACTCTACGTGCATCACTGGTAATGTTCCTGTCAAGTTAATACAGCGAAGTAATGTCCCTGTCTGGGTGAGGGAGCACTGATTTCCATTCTGTCAGCTTTGCTTAACAATGACACGATCCGAGGGTACGGCCAGCGGCCGGCGTGTGCTCGGTGTTCGGTCGGATCTGGTTGGAAGAGGGCGGAAAAAAGGCAGGATTCTAATTTGAGCTGTTCTGTACCCTGTACATCCGAAAATGCAGCCTTTTTAGCGCCTCGTAATGAAGGGAGTCTATCAGAAGGTATTGCCCCTGAGCTTGAAAATACGAAGATGGAGGGATGAGTTGTCCCAGCAAGGAGCTGGTGGGTGGCCAGGCTGCTCTGGGCCACTCGCGGGGCGTCAGGGACAGAGTCAGCTCCTGCACCCGCAGGGACATATGAGCAGCAAGGATGTTGTGCCGTTATCAGCGGAAATAAGGGCAACAAATACAAATAAGCAATTTGAAAGTACCCCCAGGGTGTCATGGGAGAAGAAAGAAATTGGATGTGGAATTAATCAAATGAAATGGCTGACCTTTGGTAATAGGATAATGGCTTTGCTGCTGATGAGCTCACAGTTTGAAGTGGTGACCAGGCCAGAGACAGCTCATCCAAAATGTCCTCTGGAGTTTGGGTCCCGAGGACTGTCTGTAAATAGAATGGTGATCCAGGTGCCTTCAGAGGTTGATCAAAAGCCAGTAAGACTCTCCCTGTGATGTAACGTCATGGGTGGCATCAGGTACTGCAAATAAACTCCTTGAGATAAGATAATCCCGGCTTCTCTGGATGAATTTGGCAAAGCCCGATGTAAAGCCATGGGTGTTTGCTGAACTGGTGTCTGACCCTGCCCATCCCTGGAGCTCTGCCTTCACGGGTCACAGCGTCCTGCTCAGCTGTGCTCTCCAGGCTGAAAGCTGAGCACCACACTCTTCTCCCTGACAATGTCCACCTCTTCTCTTTCCTCTCTCACAGAACCGTAGAGTCACAGAATGGTTTGGGTTGGAAGGGACCTCAAAGATCATCTAGTTCCAACCCCCCTGCCATGGGCAGGGACACCTTCCACTACACCAGGTTGCTCAAAGCCTCATCCAACCTGGCCTTGAACGCTTCCAGGGATGGGACAGCCACAGCTTCTCTGGGCAACCTGGTCCAGTGCCTTACCACCCTCTGAGTGAAAAATTTCTTCCTTAGATCTCATGGAAATCTCCCCTCTTTCATTCTAAAGCCATTGCCCCTTGTCCTATCACTACACGCCCTTGTAAAAAGCCCCTCTCCAGCTTTCCTGTAGGCCCTTTAGGTACTGGAAGGCTGCTGGAAGGTCTCCCCGGAGCCTTCTCTTCTCCAGGCTGAACAGCCCCAACTCTCTGGGGAGAACAGAGGTACTCCAGCCCTCACATCATCTCCGTGGCCTCCTCTGGCCCTGCTCCAACAGCTCCATGTCCTGCTGATGTTGGAGACCCCAGAACTGAATGCAGCACTGCAGGGGGGGTTCTCACAAGAGCAGAGTAGAGGGGAAGAATCCCCTCCCTCAACCTGGGGGCCATGCTTCTCTTGGAATGCTTCTTTCCTTGTGTCCTGGTCAGCTCTGCTTTTGCCATTCTGCCTGTTGCCTCGAGGACTCTTCCACAGAAGCCTTTTCTATCTCTGTCACCACCTTCCATACTTCTCCCCCCAGCAATGCCAAAAGCTGGACTCACTCAAACATCTGGGAGTTTCTCTGTCTGAGAGGGGTTTCTGAGTAACTGGGATAGTTGGGAATGTGGATTCGTGATTTGCAAGTCACACACAAATTGAGGAGCCATCTCAAAGGAATACCTCTGAATCCCATTCAAATTGGTGGTAGGTAAGATGGGAAAATAAGCAAAAATGAGCCAACCACCAAATTCAGCAGTCCTGTCACGGGAAGGACAAGTTTATATGGATCTCAAGACTCCTTTTCACATTGTTTTATCTTTCTTTTTCCAAAAGTAAATAGCGAGTTTAGATAAATTTGAGGAGAAAAGCTGGTTTCCACCTAAAATAACAATCTGCTCTAAAATCTGAATCATGTCTTGTCTGGTTTTTGATACTCATTGCTCATGTGTCTTAATCTGCCGCAGAGCAGAGCCGACCGCCTGGCTCAGTGATATCAGCCTGATATCATCCCAATGGCAGTGCCAAGTTACATCATAAGTTTAGGAATTGCTGACAGCACACTATAGCCAATTCCAGATGGAATATTTCCCTCTGGGACAAGACTGATATCACAACCCAGCACCAAAGTATCTGAGTCACTTGTAATAACTCCATCTGAGTTGGAGGAGCAAAGAACGACTCCATCAAACGGCGTTTGTCTTCCTGCCCGGCTGTGAAACAGAAACACGTGCCATGTAGGAGCGATTTAATGATTCCTTCCCCAGATAAAGTTGTTTTTTCTCTGAGAAAACGGCCCCGCTGCACACAACAGCAAAGGTGGAATGTGCTGGTGCACATCCCTGGTGTTGGAGGCGGCTTGTCTGAGGTCTCTTGCTGATGGAGCGGGGCACGTCCACACCTGAAACTTGTCTGAAGGTTTTGTTTGAGCCGTGTTTTGAGAAATGCGGCGACTGTTTCACGGCGTTTATGCCAAGACTTTGTTATTGCACAGTGAGTTGTTCTCCTGGCACTGCGTTCTCATGAAAAAGCTGCAAAATGAACATTCCCGTTTTCCAACCTGAGATCCTGGTCTCTGATCCTTGGCTGGGCTTGGTGGACTCAACGTTGTTCATGCTGAGCCACAGGAGCTCTCTGGCAGACAGTGAAACTCCAAACAAAACCATTTCCATTTCTCTCATTTCCTCTCATCACTTTTCCTTGGCTTTTCCGGTCTCCTTTCTACACAGAGGCACGGCCTTTATTGTCTTGTGGGGCTTTGGGGGACTCATGGCTGTTGCGAGGCACGTTGGTGATGTCAGAACAGGTTGTCAAGTCCATTAAGGAGTGCTAAAAGGCTTAAATGAGCAGCTACTTCTGTAATTTTTCCTGAAGTAGTTTAATTGAACTTTTGGACTTGGACGGTTGGACACCAGCTGTGCCACAGGGTAGGGCCCTGGGCTTGAGGTGACCAGCAGTGGAGCTGGAGTTGGGGTTGTCAAAAGGCGCTTTGGTTAGAAGGCTGGAGATAAGAGGAGTGAGGCACCAGTCCAGCTGGCTGTCCGGCTCATCGCAGTTGGAGGGACCACAGGAGGCTGTCTAGTCCAACCTTCTGTTCAAAGCACAGGCACTGATGAAGCCTGCATGTACCTCAGTGAGTTGATCTCCCACGGTCCAGCTGGACTGAGCTTCTTTTGCCCCTCAGAGAGTTTCTCCATTTCTGAGGGTGGATGCTTAGACATCTGTGCATTCTACAAGACAAGCTGCGATAGGGTTCTCTAAATCCAGGTCATCAGTGTGGGACCTTCTTGAAGCAGCAAGGTCTGACTGCTCAGTAGCACAGAAGCTTTGGAGCTTCGCTTGACCTGGGGCTGCAAAGGACAGTCTGGAGCTACGTACCCACACCAGTTGCTTTGACCTTGAGGAACAGAAGAGCAAAAAGAGATGTCAATCCAGGTAGAGTGAATTGCCAGGCAGAGGGGAGAAGGGTACAGCCATGGATCAAATCATCCTGTTTCAGTGAAGTCTTTTCCAAAGAACATTTCATGGTGAACACCAAACGCTCAGGTGATTTACAGTGTTCTCATTGTTGCAAATATAAGTCATTTTGACATGAAATACCTCAAATTAACCTGCAACATTTCAAGTGCAGGCAGGTTTAGAAATAGAACCCGAAAGCCCTGCATACCAGTCCCTCTGCCGTGCACATTACACTCAGTCCTCCTTCTATATTTGTAGCTTACGTTTAAAACCCACATGGATCCCATTATAGATGTTGCAGTATGTTCTGCTTGTGGCAGCGAGATGATTTTCCTTTAACTCTTGGTGTCTCTCAACCCCAAGAGAAGAGAATTCAACCGTAATGTGGAACAGAATAGAGAATTAATTAAATCCCCCAACATTAACAGTGTTGCAGTTGGAAACCCATCAACACCTCGTAATCAGCCATCCCACAGAAATGTGCTTCAAAGAAAAAACAAGCCACGTCAGTTAGAAATAGACTCCCACCTTCTGCTCAAACTCCTACTAGAAGCAGCAGAGCCGTGAGCCAGAGGAGCTGTGCTGAAGCGCACAGAAAGTTTGGGAGAGGAGGGAGGAACCAAAGAGTCTAAAATTAATACAAAGACGAGTCAGAAGCAGGTCCTGGAACTGTTTCCAGATTGAACGTGTCTTGCCGAACCCAGCCATGCCTTGCCAGTTAACCAAGCACGTTTTGTCAGGGAAGGAGCTGTCAGGTGTTACTTCCACCCACCCGTAATGTCGTGAGCATCTGTACTACTGGAAGTAAGAGACAGTTTGGGTTTTGCACAAAGACTTTTGCTGGTAGGAGCAGTCCTGGCCAGAAACAAAGCCCAGAATTAGCGTTTTCTTTGGAGATTGAGTGAAACATCTGTATCATTTTTGCCTTCCAGTTGTTTCCTTGGCTTCAAAGACCTACAGGCTGAAGTGGGACATGAAAAATAAAACCCCTCCATCTGAATAACGCTGCTCTGTGCTCGTTCGGGCAGAGGAAAGCCACAAATGTTCCTGACTTGCAGTGGCTGGCAGTGATCTGTCGGTGCCTCCAGCTTGGTCCCCCTCATAGTCAGGGTCACGGTGGAATGAGTCAAGGACAGGTTGCAGAAGGTCTTGTCCGGACAGCACGTGCCTAAAGACCTGTGTTTTCTCTGGCCGTTGTGCCCCTGCTGAGACACGCTCAGTCTCGCAGCCTGCGGCTTTCGCAGCGTGGAGGCACGGGGGAGATGGTGAAGGTTTCACACGACAAAGCTCCACGTTTCTTTGCAGCAACACCCTGAACCTCAGTCACGCACCTGTAGATTATTCTGTGCTTATTGAGGTTCTCGTCCAGTTTCCCTGCGACTTGCTGGAAATAATAAAAGCTGATTGTCCCGATCAGCCTTTTTTCCATGTTACGAGATCTTTTCATGGAAGAGGTGACCTTTGAAGTTAAAATGACGAGTAAGAGCTAGACTGATTTCCTTCATTTTACCTATTGTGGGATATGTTTGGCATTTTGGGCACCATCACTTCGGTATCCAGCAGAAAGACTGTCTCCGGATAGGAAGAACCTCCACGGAGAGTGTGGTTTTTTTCCCTTCACTGCTTTTCTCTCTCCCCCAGCTCTGACGGCGGCGGCCGGGCGTGGGAAGCTGGAGGTCTGCCGGCTCCTCCTGGAGCAGGGCGCCGCGGTGGCGCAGCCCAACCGCCGCGGGGTCGTTCCGCTCTTCAGCGCCGTGAGACAGGGCCACTGGCAGGTGAGTGGGTTTATCATGCCACCAAGATGGCCTGAAATGTAGGCTCAGGCCATCCATCCCTTCCATCTTGCTGAAACATGGGTGGAGAAGACAAACCCCAACTCTTTGGAGAATGATCAGAGTGAGAAGAAGTGATATTGATACTTCAAACACCCTGAGCTCTTGCTGACTACAGACAGATTTTACTTAAGTACTGTATTATCTCACTGTTTGGGAAGCAAACAGGATGCTCTTGACTTAAAAGGCCATTTTTTCTGTCCTTGTACCTCCATGGCTTCTCCTGTGCCCTAATCTTGCAGCAGTAATCCCAGAGGACACCACACTTTGGGGGATGAGGTTTCCAGACATGGGGACTGCTCTGCTCTTCCTCAGCTCTGGTTTCTTCCCAGCTGGGTCTCTGTGTACAACGCGTGTTCTCGCTGTGTGTGTTGCAGATCGTAGATCTCCTCCTCACGCACGGTGCTGATGTCAACATGGCAGACAAGCAGGGGCGGACGCCGCTGATGATGGCTGCTTCTGAGGGACATCTGAGCACGGTGGAGTTCCTGCTCGCGCAAGGTTAGAGCACGTCCTCGGAAGTGTGGTGGAGATGGGCCACAGCGAGTCCCACCGCGCTGTCTCCTGCACAGCTGGAGTTTTTGTGTCATGGCAGGGATTGTAATCCCGCTGCTGGATCAGGTGGTGGGAGAGGTTCTCAGCACCGTATCCAGCTTGTTGGAGAACAAGACTAGAGTAGTTGTAGCCTTAATCTTGACTATGTGTTTTGTTGGCTGTGTTTGGTGCTCGCAGCCTGAAAAACCACGCGTTTGAGTTAGAAAATAAGATAACATATCACAGGTGCTTTGAGCATTGAGTTACGAATATGCCCTTGAACCATGCTTGGAGCTTTCCCCTTAGATAAAGAAATCACCGAGTGACCGGATTGAACCATGAACATCGCCAAGGAACGGGCAGGCAAGACTCAACCACAGCAGCAGAGCTCAGGACATGTTTTAACACTTTAGTGCCCGTATTGTTGCCCACGTTTCTGACACTAACGTCAGCAGGAGGGTAGGGCCCTGACACAGGCGAGGATTTGGTGTATTTGTTGAAAATAAACCAGAATTGGTTTGAAGATAGTCAGCCCTTCAGCTTTGAGCTCACAGATTCGCTTTGCTCGCTACTTCCAGTGTCTAATCACTCTCCTTCACTAGGAGTTACTCAGTCAACAAGAATATATTTCATATTTACTCATTTCCAATGTATGTTTGAGGTGAGTCAGAACTACAGACTGCCTGCAACCTGTGTGAACTCGATTATGTCTTATATCCGTAGTTCCTTAGAGATTGCTTCTTTTTTTTTTTTTTTTTTTTGACAAATAGCCAATGTTTGGTTGGTTGGTTTGGGTAATTTTCCATTATTTTTTGGCTAGAAATAGCATTTAATTCTTGTATTGTTATTTGATATTTTTATTTCAGGTAAGATCCCTCTTTGGGAAGGGATATTTTCTTCATATCGTAAGTGACTGTGTCTGACCTCTTAGCCAAAATGTGAGACACCTGAATATTTTAGGTAGTAGTTGTAAGAACATTTTTTCACTGTAAAATTCCCAGGCTTCCAAGAACATGTTTTTCATTGCCTGTTGGGGTCCTGAGCCACAGGCCAGTGGGATTGTTGCTGTTCGGTGCTGTAACCTGCATAGGGATGTGACAAAGATCAGTTTGAGGCACAAGTTTCTTAAGAATTAATTCAATTAATTCTTTTCTGATGTTCTGTTTTGTCAAAAATTTCAGATCAGCACTCTCCGTGTTTTGCATTGTAATGTGGTCCCTTTTGCAGCTAGGCTGAATCTGTGTAAAAGGCTTAAAATAAGTGATTTAATTTTTTTTTGCCAGACTTGAGAACTGTGCACGTTGCTTAAGACTGACTGGTTCAGGGAAACGTGAATATACCATAGAATCATAGAATCATAGAATCGTTAGGGCTGGAAGGGACCTTCAAAGGTCATCTAGTCCAACCCCCCTGCAAGGAACAGGGATATCTCCAACTAGATCAGGTTGCTCAGGGCCTCATCCAACCGGGCCTTGAACGTCTCCAGGGATGGAGCATCCACCACCTCTCTGGGCAACCTGTTCCAGTGTTCTACAACTCTCATGGTAAAAAATTTTTTCCTAATATCCAACCTGAATCTACCTCCCTCTATTTTAAAACCATTACCCCTTGTCCTATCACAACTGGCCCTCCTGAACAGCCTCTCCCCATCTTTCTTGTAGGCCCCCTTGAGGTACTGGAAGACTGCTATAAGGTCACCCCGGAGCCTCCTCTTTTCCAGGCTGAACAGCCCCAACTCTTTCAGCCTGTCCTCATAGGAAAGGTGCTCCAGCCCTCTTATCATCCTCGTGGCCCTCCTCTGGACCCTCTCCAACTGGTCGATGTCCTTCTTATGTTGGGGACTCCAGAACTGGACGCAGTACTCCAAGTGAGGTCTCACGAGGGCAGAGTAGAGGGGGAGAATCACCTCCCTCGACCTGCTGGCCACGCTCCTCTTGATGCAGCCCAGGACGCGGTTGGCCTTCTGGGCCGCAAGAGCACATTGCCGGCTCATATTGAGCTTCTCGTCTGACCTTGGCTATGGGATCACCAGCAAACACACGTTGTGTTTCCCTGGCTCTTTGGATACTGAGAGCCCAAGAAGTCAAAAATGCAAAAATCTTTATTACTTTAAAAGATCCATTCTTCTAAACAGCTTAATAAACTCTACTAAATTCGCTCTAACACATGATCCTGAAAAGTTAGCTCAAGCCTGGGCAGAATACAGTGGTATGTGGTGTGTTTTAATTAAAATGGCTTTGACAATCCTGTTCAATGTTTCATTAAAATCAAAGGGCGTGAATCATAAGCCATAAGCATTAATTAGTGTGTTGCAAAGCAAATCTCATTTAACTGTGCTTGATTAACACAGTCAGCGTTTGTAAACACTTGTTATTAGCAGAGTTGCAGTCACCAATCAATTTGAAATCCAGATTTTTAGAGTTACCTACTGCTCTCACTTCACCCCCAGAAGAATGGATGTGTGAGCAGTGAATTAAACTTTCCTGGCAGCAGCTCTGCTGCAGCTGATGTTTGGACAGATCTGTGTTACACAAGGCAAAGTAATTCTTGATGCTTGTTCCGTTTGGAGAGCGCTCCATTCTGAATCTCCTTTTCCTGCAAGAGTCAAACCCTCGGTGGTGTTGCTACCTTGGGGTACGTGGTACGTGTGGGTGCTGCTCTTCGCTGTCCATCTTGTGCCTCTGACACACGACCCTGAGCCTTGTCCCCGTGGCAGGTAACCCTTCCTGGGCACTACGCCTTCAGATGCCTCCTCCATAGAGAAAGGATCCGACTGTCCTGGCCACTCCCGGCTTCTTTTTGATGCTCCAAGTGTCATAGAATCGTAGAATGGTTTGGGTTGGAAGGGACCTCAAAGATCATCCAGTTCCAACCCCCCTGCCATGGGCAGGGACACCTTCCACTACACCAGGTTGCTCAAAGCCCCATCCAACCTGGCCTTGAACACTTCCAGGGATACCACAACTTCTCTGAGCAACCTGTTCCAGTGCCTCAGCACTCTCAATGTAAAAAATTTCTTCCTTAGATCCCATCGCAATCAATTGTGTCGACTGTTTCTTTTTTTCTCCAGCCGGCTCATTGTGTGCCTACTGGGTGACGTACTAACTCATCAGCTCTCACATTCAGCCAATTAAAGTTTTTAGGGCAGGAGCAGCCCAGCCCATCTCAGAAGCGAGCCAGGTTTACCCTGACAAAATCTTTCCCACTGCAGCAAGGATCGATCCCACCAGGTCACCGGAAGCCACTCGCCCTCAAAACCATCAGTTCGTTTCGTGCCTGACTTGTTAATGCTGAGTAGGTTGGAGATCCCCACAGCAGCAAGAGGTGCCTCCAGGTCAAGCAGAGGTTCTACTGGGAGCCACGGCCGTGCCGGGAGCTCGGCGCTTCTGCAGAGGCTGTGCCCAGCCTGCCCCGGAGCAGCGTTTTGGCGTTTCTGACGCGGTGGGCATCGTCCGCTCACTCAGACCTTCAGCTTGCATTGCCGTGGCGATACCCTGAAGTCTGGGCATGTCACCCTCTGGTATGGGCTGTCTCTTCAAGAGCGGGAAGGTTGAGTGATGATGCAGCTTTCCAGCCTTCCCTCTTGTCGTAGGAGCTTTCTCACCTGCTCCGGAGGAGACAGTGGGAAAACACAAGAAAAGACTTTGACGATTTGATTGCGAGAAAGTAGCTGGTACAAATAAGAAGGAATGAAATGAGGCTTTATCCTGTTTTGATGAGCAAAGCTTGGCCTTGGGTCAGTTGAGGATCATCTGGAGGGCTTTCACAGAGCGTCAGAAGGGTGGGCAGTGTGAGAGAAGGCTGGCAAGAGGCTGGGAGTTTGATGTCATCCCTCGGCTTGTACGTTTGAGCCGCCTTGCAGCCAGCGTCCCTCCTCGGCACACCGGATCGCCCCAGACATCACTTGCCACCTCCTCACTGGTGCTCCACACTGAGCACCCTGCTCTCCCAGATGTGCAGCGAGCAGGGTGCTGCGGCTGTGCAGAGAGCCCTGGGCGGGCGTTTCGGAAGACATCCCGAGCAAACCTTCCTGCGTCGTGCTTCTCCGCAAACAAAAAGTCGCACAAGCTGGAAGACCCGTCGGTTTGCTGTCGCCTGGGGGATGTGCCAGCTGGGATGAACAGGAAAGTTCAGGAAATTCATGTTACTCTCTGGCTTGCTGAACTTTCTGGAGGCAGCAAAGATCTCTTGCTGGGTGGTTTAGAGTTTACCTGTAGGAGAAAATTCCTGCAGCAGCAACACATCCCAGCCAGCTGGCACCAGCATTCTGCAGGTAACTGCAGTTCCTGGGAGGAGCGGAGCTGAGCCGGATCCCTTCTGCACCCCTGCCTGTGCCATGGCAACAGGAGTTGTCTTCGTGCCACGCAGAGGAGTGTTCACTTAGTGCTGCTGTTCAGATCTCGCACGCGGCTCCATATGCCGTATGAAGCAGTACTGACCCGTTGGTATGGCAGCGCGGATTCTTCATCCAAGAAAATGTCAAGTCCCTCTCTCCTTGGCTTGCAGTTGGCAGTGGTTTATCCCACAGTGGTGTATTTATATTGAGTAAAGTTCAGGGAGAAATACTGCTGGAAATTGTGTCGATTTGGGTAAAGGGGAGGGGAGCGAAGAGAGGAAAAATCATATACTTTTTTAGAAGAACTGAGCTGAATTGACTTAGTTCCCCTTGGTACGCCTTGGCCTGCTGAAGCAGCGAAATGGTCTTCACCTCTGACTCACACAGGCTGGAGTGGGGTTTGATTAAAAAAAAAAAAAAAAAACAGAAACCAAAATGGTTAAAAAGGAAGATTGATGTCTCAGATGAGGGATGTCAAATCCACCCTGCTGCTCAGAAGACGTTTGCCAGAAAAGCCTACAGAGCTGGGTGCGAGAAGATGTGAGCTTGGTGTGAATGAACTCATTGGCCACAGTTCCTGTCGGTGCATTTGAAGGTGCCGTGGAGGGTGGGATCCACGCTGGGAGAAATATTAATGAAGTGATTAATACCGATGTACGTAGCTCTCTAAAGATCAGCTGTCATCACTAAGCGTTTGGTTTGTGCTCATGGTGCTCAACAACAGAGAGCTCTGGAGTGAAGGGACGTTTGTTCTTTCAGGTGCCTCCATTTCCCTGATGGACAAGGAGGGCTTGACAGCCCTCAGCTGGGCTTGTCTGAAGGGACATCTCTCCGTGGTGCGTTCCTTGGTGGAGAATGGGGCTGCCACCGACCACGCGGATAAAAACGGACGCACTCCGCTGGACCTGGCAGCTTTTTATGGCGATGCAGAGGTGGTAAGTGGCTTGTAATGCATGCAGAAGAAAACGGGCAGTTAGAACCCTAGAATGGTTTGGGTTGAAAGGGACCTTCAAGATCATCCAGTCCCAACCCCCCTGCCATGGGCCGGGACACCTTCCACTAGACCAGGTTGCTCAAAGCCTCATCCAACCTGGCCTTGAACAACCCAGGGGAGGGGCCAGCCACAGCTTCTCTGGGCAACCTGTGCCAGTGCCTCACCACCCTCAGAGGGAAGAATTTCTTCCTTAGATCTCATCAAAATCTCCCCTCTGTAAGTTCAAAGCTGTTGCCCTATGTCCTGTCACTACCTGCCCTTGTCCAAAGCCCCTCTTCAGCTTTCCTGTAGCCCCTTTAGGTACTGGAAGGTGCTAGAAGGTCTCCCCGGAGCCTTCTCTTCTCCGGACTGAACAGCTCCAACTCTCTCAGCCTGTC